TAACCAGAAGGCTGGAGGTTCAAACCCACCAGCCACTCCTCAGAAGGAAGGTTGGGCAATCTACTTCCATAGTGATACCACCTTGGAAACCCAAGAAGGGGTCACATAACAACACAGTATTTATGGGAGCAAATCACCAGGTTACCAGGTTTTTTCTCCCATGGAATAGCTGGTGGATTCGATTGGGCGATCCTTCACTTAGCAGCCAAGTGTTTAACCATTTCACAGCCTGGGCTCCTTATAGCTAACTTAGTGGGTGAAATAGATCACATTATGGATTTGTGTTTGTTTGTTTGTTTCCCAAAAAATATTACTTTTTTTTTTTAATTGTGATTTGGGTGAAAGTTTACAGAGCAAATTCACTTTCCATATAGCAGTTCACATGCACTTTGTCTCATGACCTTGACTACAATTTACCACAATGCAACAGCTCCCCTCCCACTTCCTCCCAATAGTTACCTCTTCCCTGTGTCCATCTCTCTGTGCGCTCCTGCCCCCTGAGCTGTCTCCCTGTGCATAGCAGCCCTTCTTTCTCCCATGATTGTTCTCTCCAAGGAGTGTATCCACCTCAGGTAAATGTTCAACTCATATGCTTGTCTTTTGTTTAACTGGAAGCCACAAGTGTGGGTTCAATTCCAGACCTGAAGGGCAGCTAGGGGCCATAGTCTCAGTGGTTCAGAGGTGGTAAATCTTAATGGAAGTAGATAGCCCAGTCTTCCTTCTGTGGAGTGGCCAGTACATTTGAACCACCAGCCTTCTGGTTAGCAGTCAGATGCCTTAGGCACTGCACCACCTTTTCTATGTATAAAATCATATAATCTGCAAATGGAGATCATTTTACTTCCATTTTAGTCTGGAAGGCTTTTGTTTCCTTTTCTTGCCTAATCACCTTGACTAGCACCTCCAGTATAATAACTCGAAGTGGCCAGAGTCAACATGCTTGCCTTGTTCCTGACCTTAGGGGAAATCATTAAATCTTTCTCCGCTAAGTACAATGGCAGCTGTAGCACTTCCAGTGTAATAACTAGGAGAGGCCAGAGTAGACATGCTTGCCTTGTTCCTGATCTTAGGGGAAATCATTAAATCTTTCTCCACTAAGTACAATCGCAGCTGTGGGTTTTCGTAGGTACCTTTTCTAAGTTTGAGGAGGTTCCCTTTTATTCTTTGTTGGCTTTTTTGTTCATTTGTTTGTTTTTAATAATGAAAGAACATTGGATTTTGTCAAATGCTTTTATGTGTCAATTGAGATTATAGTGTGATTTTTGTCCTATGTATGGTATATTGTTGTTGTTGTTGTTATGTGCCCTCGAGTCAGCCCCGACTCATAGTGACCCCTCCTTGGGTTTCCAAGATGGTATCACTATGGAAGTAGATTGCCCAACCTTCCTTCCAAGGAGTGGCTGGTGGATTTGAACCTCCAGCCTTATGGTTAGCAGTCAAGTGTCTTAGGCACTATGCTACCAGAGCTCCTGTATGGTATATTAATTACTGTGATTGCTTTTCTAATTTTAATCCAAACTTACATTTTTGGAGTAAGTCCAAAATCTTTTGTAAATCTTGGAGTAAGCCACATCTTCTGTCCTCCTCTAACCCCACAAGAGGAAGACAGGATCACCATCAATAGCCCAAGGCCTATTACTGCAAGGCCAGACATGCTGCCTCCCTCCAGCCCTTTCATCAACCGTTCCTCCTAAAGTACCCACCACCTCTCTCCTGGGTTCGATAATTCACTGCAGTGGCCACACAGAACTCACAGATTATGGGGTTTATTAGGGAAGCCGTTGTTGTTGTTGTTGTTGTTGTTGTTAAGTGCTGTCGAGTCGTTTCCGCCTCATAGCGACCCCATGCACAGCAGAACGAAACACTGCCCGATCCTGCACCAGCCCCACAATCTCTGCTATACTCGAGCCCATCATCGCAGCCACTGTATCAATCCATCTCGTTGAAGGCCTCCCCCTCTTTCGTCGACCCTCCACCCTACCAAGCATGACATCCTTCTCCAGGGAATGGTCCCTTCTGACAACATGACCAAAATAGGTGAGACGAAGTCTGGCCATTCTTGCTTCCAAGGAGCATTCTGGCTGCACTTCCTCCAGGACAGATCTGTTAGTTCTTTTAGCAGTCCGTGGTACTTTCAGCATTCTCCACCAGCACCACAACTCAAAAGCATCAACTCTTCTTTGGTCTTCCTTATTCATTGTCCAGCTCTCACATGCATACGAGGCGATTGGAAATATCATGGCTTGAGTCAGGCGCACCTTAGTCCTCAAGGAGATATCCTTGCTCCTCAGCACTTGATACAGTTCCTTTGCAGTTGACTTTCCCAATCTACACATCGTCTAATGTCCTGACTGCTGCTTCCGTTGGCATCGATTGTAGAACCAAGCAACGTGAATTCTTTGACAACCTCAATCTTCTCTCCATTTATCAGGGAAGCACCAGGTTACAATTCAAGTTCAGGAAAAACGCTCAGTTTCTCTCCCAGCCCACTGTCTCTCAGCCAGCAGTCTCTCACAGTCTCTCTCCCAGCAGTGCGTGTCCCTTGGTGTCTCTCTCATCAATGCGTGTCTCTTGCGTCTCTTTCCCAGCAGCACGTCTCTCAGGAGTGCATTCCTTCTCAGCAGTATGTCCTTCTCACCCAGTAGACAGAGTTCTGCCTCTAGGAGGCCTCCTTTAGAGCCTGGCAGAGTGGCCAAACTAGCCAATCATAGCATCAGAACTCTAAGGACCTGAGAGCCCAGAACATTGATTTGTGCCACTCCCAACAGAAATACCCCAGGTGGACAACTTTTACAATCAAGAGCTCCTCATTTGCTCACAGCAAATTCCACCACGGAGTTTACAAAGACTTATGGCTAGAAAAGCCATACCAGGTAATTTACCACACTGCACCTGTTTTGTGGCCTAACATATGATCTATCTTGGAAAATGTTCCATGTACACTTGAAAAGCATTTGTATTCTGCTGGGGTTTTTTGGTAGAGTGTTCTATAGGTATTTATTCATTTTAATTACTTGATAGCAAACCAAACCAAATCCACTGCTGTCAAGTCAATTCTGACTCGTGGCTGCCCCAGGGTTTCTAAGGCTCTGAATCTCTATAGAAGCAGACTGTTACCTTTTTCCCCCAGAGTGGCTGGTAGGTTCAAACTACCAACCTTTATTTAGCAGCTGAGTGCTTTGACCACTGCCTTTCCAGGGCTCACTACTTAGTTGACAGTGTTCAAATCTTGTCTTTCCTTGCTGATCTTATATCTACTTGTTCAACCCATCACAGAGAGGGATATTAAAGTTTCCAACTTATTGTTCAACAGTCTGTGTTGTTGTTGTTGTTATGTGCCGTCGAGTCAGACCTGACTCATAGTGACCCCTCCTTGGGTTTCTGAGGCGGTATCACTATGGAAGTAGGATTGCCCAACCTTCCTTCTGAGGAGTGGCTGGTGGGTTTGAACCGCCAGCCTTCTGGTTAGCAGTCAAGTGCCTTAGCCACTATGCTACCAGAGCTCCCTCGACAGTCTGTATCTCCTTTCAATTCTGTTTTTACTTTATGTATTTTGGGAATCTATTGTTAGGTGCATATATGTTTGTAATCATTATATCTGGTAGATTGACCCCTTATGATAAAATGTTCTTTGTCTAGTAACAATTTGGTCTTACAGTTGATTTTGTCTCATTTTATTAGAGCTGCTCCAGCTTTCTTTTGGTTACTGCTTGCACGGTTTATCTTTTAGTTTTAACCCTTAGTGACTTTGAATCTAAAGTGTGCCTTGTGTAGACACCATGTAGTTAGATCATGTTGGTTTTTTTTAATCCATCTTGTCAACCTCTGCCTTTTAACTGGAACATGCAATCCATTTATATTTGTAATTACTGTTAAGGATGACTTACTTGTGCCATTTTACTGTTTTTTTATTTTTGTTAACTGAATGCTTAACCACGCACTGGGCCATGTATAGACATCATCACATGGTTTCATGCCCATTGTTTAGTTGAGGAGTTGAAAACCTAGGAAGACGCAGTAGCAGGGCCAGTCACTGGTGGAGCTGAGCTGTGAGCCCGGCATTGCGGCCCTCAGCTCTCATCTAGAAGCTTTCTTACTGGTCCCCTGCCATCAGTTATTGCCTCCCCAGGGCCCGTCTGCACATACAGTCAGAAGAATTCTATAAGAGCATGAAGCCAGTCATGCCACCCCTGCTCCTGACCTTCCGACGGCTCCCACCCAGACGGGTTGGTGTTTCCCCTGGCGGATGTGCATCACGCAGGAAAAGGCGTGAGATGCTCCCTGATGTGACCTCCTGAGTAACTAGGTCAACTCAACCACAGGTTTGCTCCTCATGAGACAGGTCACCTGGGAGCTCAGAGCACTGTGGGCTTATATTCTGTGCAGGCCTCCAAGCATGGTCCCTGGCCGCTCCTCGGAAGGAAGATGGGGCAATCTGCCTCCATAGTGATACCACCTCGGAAACCCAAGGAGGGGTCGCCAGGGGTCCGCTCCAACTCAACGGCACATAACAAGAAGAAGCATGCTCCAGCCCATGCCTTGGGAAAACATCTACCCTTGGTCTGTGGCTGCTCCACTGGGCTGGCCTTCTTCCCCGGCCACACCTAACTTCTGTTTCCTCCTCCTCTCTCCCCCTTCAGAACATGCAAACCCTGCAAGACCTGCTCAGTGACCTTTACTCAATCAAGACCACCACTGAAAGCCTCAAGAAGGATATAGACAAGCTGAGGAACCAGTTTGACAAGGTAGACCCCTTCAGGCATCCTCCACTCTGGTCCCGCTGCTCAGACCTCTGGTGGTTGGGCAACGAGAAATCTAGGAGGCCTGTTCTTGATCCAGGAGAGCAGCCATGAGGGCAGGAGAAGGGGGCTGACGTGGCCCATACGCCGGCCTCTGGAGCTTTCCTCACCTTCAGCTTGTTATCTCATATTTGGTCCCCCCCTGCTTTTGCCTTGCTGTGCTGGTCAGAACCCTTGGTCGTAAATCACAGAAACTCAATTCATCCCAACTTAGAAAAATTAAATGAATGTATTGTCTCATTTACTAAAAAGCCCAAGGATGGCTTCAGGTACTGCTCGATGCTCCTACAGCATTGCCAATCTCTCAGCATTGCTTTCCTCAGACTTGGCTTCATCATCAGGCAGGTACTCCCCACATCTCAGCATCTCCAGATTTACATACCACCAACTCGGGAGCATAGTGGCTAAGGCACTTGACTGCTAACCAGAAGGCTGGCGGTTCAAACCCACCAGCCACTCCTCGGAAGGAAGGTTGGGCAATCCTACTTCCGTAGTGATACTGCCTCCTCGGAAACCCAAGGAGGGGTCGCTATGAGTCAGGGCTGACTCGACGGCACATAACAACAACAACAACAACAACTCAGCAGAAAGAGAATACCTTTTGCTCACTTTCTTTCTTGGCGCTTCTTAATAGGCTTTTTCCATTAAAGGCTCTGAGAAGTCCTGCATTAAAGGAACCTGTTGAATGCCTTTTAACCCAGCACTGCCCAAACGTATTTGCCCTTTGTCCATGGGACCCTATCCCCACCCCTCTTCACACTCTCTGGGAAATACTGCTTTAGAACCTCTTCTTCCGTCTCAAGCTCTCCATCACCTTGAGCTAAATCCTTAAGTTCAAGGTGTGGGAAGAATCAGGGCTGAGGCCAGAAGTTGCACCCCTGGCCCACGGACTTGTTCCATTTGACAGATTAACATGGAAAGGTTTGATACCTTCTTCGATGATTTCAGAAGACAGAACCGCAAGATGACTGCTCTGCAACGGGAACTGGTGAGGGCTATGATGGCTCCTGCTTCCCTCCCCTACACCCTCACCTCCAGGCCCGGGGCGCTGGGTGGGACAAGGGGGTGAGGAGAGCAGACCCCAGAAAGGGCGATGCATAAGGGCAGTGTGTGATGGAGCCCCACGAGGACAGCCATCCTCCAGGCTCACCCCCATCTCCAACCGCCCCGTCTCCAGACCGGTGTCCAGAACAGGATAAGCAGCTTCCCCCACGTGGAAGAGCTCGTGCTGTGGAGCAGCCTGCACGAGGCCATGTTCCCCTCGGTGAGTGGAGGACGGGGCTGAAGACACAAGGACGAGCGGCAGGGGCGAGGTGAGGGCCAGAGCAGGGGCGGCGGGCCGGACGCAGCCGTGCAGCCCACCCCCTCTTCCGCAGGGAATCCCGAGAAGGCTGGAGGGAAGGCTGGACCAGCCCCTGCATCAGGTGCAGGGCCCATTGTGGCAGACCATCCAGCCGTTCCCAGAGGCCGTCACGCTGCAGACAGCCGAGTCCGTCCAGGCTGTTGATCACATCCAGGCCACAGAGCCCATCCGGGGCACAGAGCTCCTGCAGACCGTGTGGCATTATGAGACCCCAGAGATCCTCCCTGTTGAGAAGCCGGCACAAGCCGTTCTGCTCCCTGGGGCCCAGGAGCCAGGCCAGCCACCTGCTCCTGAGCCCATGTCAGCAGCGCAGCCTGGGCCCGGACCTGAGGCAGGGACAGAGCCCATGCCTGCACTGGGGCCTATGCCGGGGCCCAGCCAGACTTCTGTGGGACCTGAGTCTGCCCAGAGGCCCCAGCCCATTCCACCCGGAGGCTGGCCTGTGCCCCCCAGAGGCTGGTCTACCACCCCTGGAGGCTGGCCCATACCCCCCGGAGGCTGGCCCGTGCCCCCCGGAGGCTGGCCTGCTCCCAGAGGCTGGCCTGGGGCAAGCACTTGGCCTTTCTGGGCCTCAGACTTCTTTGACCCTGGCCCAGGCTTGTCAGTGCCCCAGCAGCCTGCCCAGCCCCAGCAACCACCCTCCAGGGCCCCGCCACCAGCCACGGAGCTGGGCGCGTCCTGGCCTCGCCCACTCCAGCCTCACAAGTCCCACCCACCGGAGGGCAGCCAGCTCCAGACTGTGGTGGAAAAGGGGGAAGAACTGTATGCCTATGATGCAGTGGCCCCAGTGGACAGGAGCGCCAAGGAGAAGGCCCCGAAGGAAGCACACCTGAAGGCTCCCGGGTCTGCCCTTCATCGGATGAAGACCACTGCTACCATGGCTGCCGCGGCTGCCGCCGCCTACGCGGCCGCCGCCAACACAGCGGCCCATGCGGCAGAGGCTGCCGCCAGGGCAGTCAAAGATGCCCCTGCCACCAAAATGGCCACGCTTGCCACAACCGTGGCCTCTGCTGGGCCCTTAGGGGTGCTGGCAGAAGACGTGGGTGCCGGGACCAGCCGCGGTGCCACCAGCCACGTGGCCTTCGGTGACGACATAGGTGCAGAGGACTACGACTACTCTCCCTCGCAGTCGGTGGTCAGCGTCTTCCCTGAGGCCTTGCCGGCCATGACCTTGCAGGCTTCCCAGCAGGCTGTGAGCCCAGAGGACAAGAAGGAGGCAGTTAAGCATTCCATGAGTTACATACCCTCGCTGCCGGCTAGACACGACTCCATGAAGGAGGAGTTGGCGCAGCTGTCCTCCAAGGTACAGCAGCGGCTGATGTACCTAGGTAGGTGGGCCTGGCCCGGGAGGGCTGCAGGGACTGCGGGGGCGGGGTGTGCCTTTGCCAAGCTCCTCCTGTCTCTCGGGGAGCTCCCCCACCAAGTCTCCGTCCAGCCCTGAGTTATGTGTGCCTTTGGGTTGAATGTTAGCCTCTCACTTGTTTTCAGAGGCCATCTGGTCGGCCATAGCACCCTACACACAGTGGAACAAAACACTGCCTGACCCTGCACACTCCCCGTGATGCACAGGGCTGTCGCTCGCTCATTTTCACAAGTAGATGTTTGGGCCTTTCGTCCTAGTCCGTCTCGGGCTGGAAGCTGTTGAGCGTCCTAGCGACACATGGGCCTCCACTGGCAGACGGGTGGGGGCTGCGCAGAGGTGAGTGGCCGGGAACTGAAGCTGGGTCTCCCTCCTGGAAGGTGACAACCTCCGCTGACCCACCGACGCCCCCAGCGAACTCTCAGCAGGCTCCTCTTCTCCAATGAGTGTCCGCTGACATCTTATCTTGGGGGGTGGGTATTGGGGTTGAAACGTAGCGGGCAAAGTCTCAGGTCAAAATTACTCTCGGAAATTTCTAATAGCCCTTAAAACCAGGGCCGTAGGGCTTGGGGCCTGTCCAGCTTTGTCAAGTGCCGACAGCACCGGACAGACCCCGGAGGAGGGGTCGGCTGAAGATCAGGAGCCACTGCTGGGCCAAATGCGGTGTCCTTACAGACCACGGCCACGTTCTGGGTGGCCATAGGACTAGGAGACTTCTGCTGCCGTCTCAAGGCCGTGCCTGGCCTAAAGCTCTTTGGGTAGGATGGACAGCAGATGGCCTGCGTGAATGGTTCTCCAGTTCAGCCGGCCTTAGCAACCCCTGGAGGGCTTAGCAAATAAATCCCAGATGGCTGCGTGCCACCCCAGCGTGGTGTTTCTGAGTCAGTCCGTCTGGGTGGGACTGGAGAGTGTGCGTTTCTGACCCGTTCCCAGGTGGTGCTGATGCTGCTGCCCTGGGGAGCCCCACTTTGAGAACCCCTGTCTTGTCCCCTTTAACTCATTCTCTTGTTTTCTTGCTCTCCGCCAATGACAATAGTTGAAGAAACCTAAGTGAAACCTCTATGTGGTGCTACCTTGGATAAAATACTTTTTATTGAAAAGAATGTAACTTCCCATAGCTGAAAAGAATCGCGTTCCATCGGTGAATGTGGGAACACAGCCAGGATTACGGTAGTGATGCATTTCAGCGGCTAGGTAAGACAGGTGTAGCCCAAGCCCGTTTCAGGCCAGCTGTCACTACTGTCAAGGACAGGGAGATAGGTGGTGACTCACCTTGGCTGAGACTTTTCAACCACGCCTAGTGGGGTTTGTACATTATTTTTGGCTTTAGGTCTCTGGCCTCTCACCTGTAATTGGATACATTGTTCTTTTTCTTAATTCCCCACCCACCCCCACCACCACCCTTTTTAAACTTCTCCCTCCTTTTTCTCTTGCAGTGACATAATATGCTTTGTGTGTGCTGGTAAGTTAGACACCATTCTTGGTGGTTCCGCTCAGCGTCGTTGCTGGAGGAGAGTTTCTATATTTCTTGAAGCCTTGGGCTGTCCACTAGAGTAACCAGGAGGCACACATGGCCATTGAGCATATGAAATGTGGCAAGTTCAAGTCCACTTGTGCTCTAACTGAAATACACATCAGATTTTGAAAATGGTACAAAAAAGAAAAAGAATATAAAATTTCTCATTTTTTTTCAATTACATATTAAAATTATAATCTTTTGGATATATTGGGTTCAATACAATATTTTATGAATTAATTTCATCTGCTTCTTTTCATATTATCTTTAATGTGGCTACCAGAAATTTAAAACTACATCAGTGGCCCCCAAGCTCACAGTATAGTTCTTTTTCTTTATTTTGTTGTTGTGTTGAGAATTTACAAGGCAAAAACATACACTGATTCAATAATGGGGAATCAGTGACCTTGGTCCCATTCTTTGAGTTTTGTAACCATTCTCACCCTCTTTTTCTGAGTCGTTCCTCCTCCATTAACATCAATTCACTGCTCCCTAAGGTTCCTGTCTAACCTTTCGAGTTGCTCTTGTCACTCTGGGCCCATGCAGCTAGATCTTGAAAGAGCACCATCCTCAAGGCAGGCATTCTTTCCTAGTGACGCTGAACGGCTGTTTGGTTTTAAGGAGACCTCAGGGGATATTTTTGGTTTAAGGTTTAAAGATGATCTCAAGGGAATAGTTTTAGGGGTTCATCCAGCCTCTGTGGCTGTAGAAAGTCTGGAGTCTGTGAGAATTTAAAATTCTGTTCTGCATTTTCCCCCTTTTGATAAGGATTCTTCTATAGAATCTTTGATCAGAATATCCAGCCATGATAGCCAGGCACCATCCAGTTCTTCTGGTCTCATGGCAAAGGAGGTGGTTGTTCTTGGAGGCATTAGCCACGCATTCCAGACCCTCTTCCTGTCCCTGACTCTTCTCCCTGTCACCTCTCACCGCATATTTCTGTTGGACAGCGCTGCATGATTCTTCTCCTAAGGAAGCACTCGGAGCTCTAGCCTGCAGGGATTTCTGCCGAATCCTCCTCCTCCTTCCCTGCCCCCAACAGACACCCCTCCCTTTGCTTTCAGTTAACAAGGGTGCCTCCTCCAAGCTCGGGGCCACCGTGGACATGCTGCAGGAGAAGGTCGGCAGGCTCCAGAAGTCCAGGATGAAGGTCAGTGTCTTGGGCCAACAGCTGCTTTGGGGATCACAGTGATCCCAGAACCAGATGGGCTTCCACCTTCCAAGACACGGCATCGTCCTGCAGCGGAAGGGAGGCCCGGGGACTGAGTGGGCCGAAGGGCAGCTGCAGCCACTAGGAGGGGCCTGGCGCGGCTCCTAGGTGGCTGTTGGGCTGAGGCAGGCTGGAGATGCGCTGGGCCAGGCCATCCTCCTGGGCCACAGCCCTGCCTTGAAGGCCCTTGCAGCCACAGTGACCTCAGAAGCGGAGGCACCGGCTGCACTGTGTCCGTTGTAGGAGGAGGAGCTTGAGCGCTTCTGGGGCGGCCAGATCCAGATGGTGAAGGATCACTACGTCGTGCTGGACAGGACGGTGGAGCGGCTGAAGATTCACCTGGATGAGTCCAAGGTGCAAGGTCCGGGGCCTGGGTGGGGGAGTCCTCATCGGGACCCTCCCCAGAGGCTGCATGGGAGGTGGGAGTGTGTCAGAAGCCGCGGAACCAGTGAACTTTGTGTGAGTGATTTGCGTGGAAGTTTACAGAGCAAATTCACTTTCCATACAGCAGCTCACATACACTGTCTCATGATATTGACTACAATTCCCCACAATGTAACAGCTGTCTTCCCACTTCCTCCCTGAAGTTACCTCTTCCCCGGGTCCTTCCCTCCATGCACTCCTGCCCCCCCCCCCCCCCCCCCCCCCCCCCCCCCCCCCCCCCCCCCCCCCCCCCCCCCCCCAGCCATCGCCCTGTGCATACACTGCCCTTCTATTCTGCCACGATTGCTCCGAGGACTGTATCTACCTGATGTAAATGTTCAGCTCATATGTCTGTCTTTTGTTTGGCTGGAAGCCACAGGAGTGAGTTCAATTCCAGGCCTGAAGGGCAGCTAGGGGCCACAGTCTCAGTGATTCCACCAGGCTCTATCAGACCAGCAAGCCTGGTCTTTTTTATGACTTTGAGTGTTGGTCCACATTGTTCTCCCGCTCTCTCCAGGATCTCCTGGCCAGTGGATATTTTGCTGGCGCTTTACTGTGTGTAAATTACATTTCCCACCACCCACGTGTCAGCGTGTGGTGGCTGGCACACTGCTGTGAGCATGGAAGCTCTGCCCCCCGGATCTCCAATCCCAGGAGGGCCACCGTGGTGGGCAGGTTTCAGCAGAGCTTCCAGACTGAGACAGACCAGGAAGAAAGGCCTGGAAACCTGAAAATGAGCCAGTGAGAACATTACAGGTCCCAACAGAAGGCTGTCCGACATAATGCTGGAAGATGAGCCCTAGGCTGGAAGGTACTTCAAAACAGTGACCACAACGGGCGTGTGCAGACCAGCGGTCATGGAGGCGGAGCCCGACCAGGCACCGTCCGGTCTGTTGTACACGGGTTGCCGGGAGTCAGAGCCAACTCACAGCAACGAACAGAACAGCAGATCACACTTCAGTTGAAAGCAGGCAAATCCCTGCTTCCCTGCCCCCTACACAAACAGAAGGGCCTGGAGGGAGCCTGTTCTGTCACTGTCGCCAGCTGGAGATGGATGTGTGGTGCGTCACGTACGCTCAGGGACTATCACTGCGTGAATCGCTTCCCCATAAACCATTTTGTTTAGAGGTATGGAGCCCTCCCCTGAATTTCCAGTGCCAATGGACCTTTCTAGAACAATAGTGTTGGTAACAGTGACCCCCCAGCAGAGTCAGGGCCTCTTTACATCATAACTGTGCAGACAGACACACAGCTCGTCAGCAGAGCCTCACTCCATCGAACACCTTGTCCAATGAGCCTAAAGGGCCCTGATTGGCTGGGGTTGCCGGCTGGATGACCCTGCTCTGGTGGGCCCCCAGGATCCACCCAGTCCAGTCTACCTCTTGTCCCAGACTAGAGCATCCCCGGACCTTTAGACAGGGACTCAAGGAGTCCTTCCCAGTAGGAGGGAACCATTTGAGGTTGCTTCCACGGGATTCTGACCCCAAGTCCAGAGGCTGTCGGGGAACACGTTAGGATTCAGGGGACATAAGAGTGGGAACCAAGACACGGCCCTGACATACTGCTCCCTCCCAGGATGGGCACCCGGTGTAGTCAGCCTCAGACACACAGAGCAACTCTGAACGGCAAGAGCTCACACAAATGGAGCCACTGCAGAGCCTAAGAAGTCGGGTGGAAGGGACAGCTGCCCTTGTTTGTAGCTACTGGGCAGCATGTGGGCAGAGGACGTGCGCTCGGACCTTTGTGAGCACCACTGACCGGGAGTGCCGTCGTCCCCGCCACCTCCCGGCCCGTTTCACTCACTGCTCTGCCAAAGGGCCTGGGTCTCGTGTTGCAGGGACCTGTCGGTGCTCCTCCTCCATGGAAATCCTTAGCTTCTTAGTGCTGCTCAAAGAGAAATAGCACAGGTGGGGGCTCTTCTGTTGTTGTTGGGTGCCACTGATCGAGCCCCAGCTCACAGGAACGCCGAGGACAACACAGTGAAGCGCGATCGTTGCTACGCCTGAGCCCACTGTTGTAGCCGCGGAGTCCGTCCGTCTCACTGAGCGTCTGCCTCTTTGTTGCTGAGCGTCTGCTTTTCCAAGCGTGACATCTTCTCCAGGGGCTGGACCCTCCTGACAGCGTGACCAAAGTACAAGAGCCAGAGTCTGGCCGTGCTGGCTTAGAGCGTTCTGGCCGCACTTCATCCAAGACAGATCGGGTTGTTTTCCTGACAGTCCATGGTATGTTCTCTGGTAGTGTGGTGCCTAAGGTACTTGACTGCTAACCAGAAGGCTGCGGTTCAAACCCACCGGCCACTCCACAGAACGAAGACTGGGCAATCTACTTCTGTAGAGATACCACCTTGGAAACCCAAAAGGGGTCACTATGAGTTGGAATTGACTGGATGGCAGTGAGTTTGGTTTTGGATTCTTTATGGTATAGTCAATATTCTTAACCAACACTGTAGTTCAAATATATCAGTTCTTCTTTGGTCTCCCGTATCCATTGTCCAGCTCTCACATGCATATGCAATGATTGAAAATACCAAGGCTTGGGTCGGGCACCTTAGTCTTCAAAGTGGTATCTCTGCTCTTTAACACTTTATAGAGGCCTTTTGCAGGAGATTTGCCCAATGCAGCATGTCATTTGATGTGTTGATTGTGGATCCAAGTAAAACAGATAGGTGTTTTCTCAGAGTTTTAAAAAATATAGATATATACAATTGCCATTGACCCACAGTGCCCCTAGAGGACAGAGTGGAACTGCCCCACAGGGTCTCCAAGGCTGTCAATCTTCACGGAAGCAAAGCCCAAACCAAACCCACTGCTGTGGAGTCAATTCCGACTCACAGCGCCCCTAGAAGACAGAGCAGAACTGCCCCAGAGGATTTCCGAGGCTGTCAGTCTTTACGGAAGCCAAGCTCATCCCAAACCCACTGCCAGGGAGTCAGTTTCAACTCATAGTACCCCCAGAGGACAGAGTAAAACTGCCCTGTGATGTTTCCAAGGCTGTAGATCTTTAAGGAAGCAGATTGCCACATCTTTCTTCTGCCAAGAGGCTGGTGGGTTTGAACTTCTGACCTTCTGGTTAGCAGCCAAGCACTTCACCACTGTGCCCCAAGGGCTCCTTATTCGTCCCGGGCAGAAATTTGAGAAGATGAAGGCTTACCAAACAGTGCCAGAATGGACCATGTCGACCTCTGTCCCCACTTCCTCCCTGGCTCTTGCGCCAACGATAATTAGTTGCTTATACACATTAACCCTGGAAGGCCCTGGAACAGCGCTTGGTATACAACACATATCTAATTAAACATGGTTTCAGTGAACACATGCTGCAAGAGATTAACTGCCCCATCCAATCCCCTGGTGAGAAATGAGGGGCTGCGGACACATCTGCAGTGGGTCTGTAACATCTGGAGTAGTGAAGAAAACATCACTATTCAAAGTTTATGGAATTGCTGTATGGAAAGTGAATTTGCTCAGTAAATCTTCACTCAAATCACAATTAAAAAGAAAGAAAGAAAGAAAGAAAACGTCACTATTTGTGGTCCAGCTGCATGTCTTCATGGAAATGTCATGGACCTAACAGTTGGTGTCAGAAGCCTCTGTACTCACTCATTGATTTGTTCCACAAGATACTGGGCCCATCGGCACCCTTTTAGGGGCTAGTGACATGGTCGTCAACAAGATAGACACAATCTCCAGGCCCTCTTGTGTGTGTGTGTGTGTGTGTGTGTACAAACAGTAATTCTATGTTTTTAATTGAAGTATAACTTACTCAAGGAGCCCTGGTGGCAGCAGTCTGTTCTCAAAGATTACAGCCCCAAAACTGAGTCAACAGCAATTAGTTTGGTTCTGGAATACTATTTGAAGGACCCCTGGTGGCACAATGGTTAAAAGTACTCCACTACTAACTGAAAGTTTGGCAGTTCACCAGCCGCTCCTTGGAAGAAAGATGTGGCAGTCTGCTTCCGTAAAGATTACAACCTGGGATACCCTATGGGGTAGTTTTACCCTGTCCTATAGGGTTGCTGTGAGTTGGAATTGACTTGATGGCAGTGGGTTTTGGGTTCGATAATTTACACATGGCAAAATATCCAAGTCTTATGTATAAGAACTTTGGTAAGTTTTACCAGTGGGTTCAGATGTAACGATGATCATGTGGATGGTACTGAGACCAGCCAGTGTTCCAGTCTGTAACACATAAAGTCACCACGAGTCAGAGCCAACTCAGTGGCAACTGACAACAACAAACTACCCATTTATACACCCCTGTGGCCACCACCCAGTCAAGACCGAAATATGGCCATCATCTGGGAAATCTTCCTTTCCAGGAAATACCCACCACCCATAGTAGCCACTCTTTTGCCTCTTGTTATCTCCTTTTGAACCTCATATAACTGGGATCACACAGTCTCTGCTGGAGTTTGGGAGGAGGTTGTCTTTATGGAAGAAAGACCTTCATAAACCACTTGGAATAGAAAGATGAGATCCTGTGTGCCTGACACAAGTCATTGAAACAGCATGACCTCATAACTGGATATCCATCTGTGATGGTTACAGCTGTGTGTCATCTTGGCTGGGCCAGTGGTTTGGCGGCTATGATGCAGACATCCCCCATGATGGGATCTGCTGTGAGCAGCCAATCAACTGAAAGGATGTTTCACTGGGGTGTGGCCTGCATCTAATAGATGTGGATTTTCTGGAAAGCTCTCTGGCCTTTTGCTCACTCTGGATCCTGCATCTGGCTTGTTGTCATCCTACCTCCAGTTCTTGCGGCACTGCCTGCCAATCCTGGGATTCACTAGTCTCTGCAGCCTGTGAACCAGCAGCCTGTTGTCTAAGCTGCCAAGCTTGGGTTTATCAGCCTCTGCAATATGTGAGTCAGGAGTCCCAGCCATGGACTTTGGAACTTGCCAGCCTCTACACCACATGAGTGATTTCCTTGAGCTCTCTCCCTCTTATATATATACATATATAGGCATCGCTGGTTTTTCTTCTCTAGAGAACCCAGCCTAAAACACCATCTATATGAAAAAATGAACCTCAGCCTCTCCTCACTCCATGCCCCAATATTAACTAGAGGGGAACATAGACCTAAACCTGAAAGCTGTTACTATAAAGCTTCTAGAAGAAAACACAGGATGGACGTGTGACGGATGACGAATGGCAAGAGTGTTGCTGCGTATGTATTTATTACAATTAAAAGAAAATAAGAAAACATGGGAGGATATCTTTGCAATCTTGGGCTAAATAAAATTTCTTAGGACACGAGTAGTGAATTAATGATACTCATGCTAAATGTTTAAAAGTGAGGAAGACTGATGTTAGATGAACACTTCAAACAACATTTTATCTTTCATTTATTTTGTTCTTTTTACAGAGCAAATGAGTTTCCCATTCAACAATTCATACACATTTGATTTGTGACACTGGTTGCAATCCCCTCAATGTCACAGCTCTCTTCCCACGTCCTCCGTAGGGTCTCCATGTCCATTGTTCTTCTTTCCCGTCCCTTCCTGTCCTCTGAGCTTTGTTTTTGGGCAGTGCTGCCCTTTTGACCTCCTTAGGAGCTCTGGTAGCATAGAGCCCAAGGCACTTGACTGCTAACCAGAAGGCTGGCGGTTCAAACCCACCAGCCACTCCTCGGAAGGAAGGTTGGGCAATATACTTCTGTAGTGATACTGCCTCAGAAACCCAAGGAGGGGTCGCTATGAGTCGGGTCCGACTTGATGGCACATCACAACAAAACAACATAGTTGATTGTACTGAGAAGTATATTCTTCCCTGGTGCAATTATTAACTTTGTAGGCCTGTTTGGCTTCGAACGTTGACCAGTTCTTTTTGGTCTACTGACCGTGTGCATTGGTTAACACTCGACCATTTCAGGAGGTAGCATGTGATCAAGAACTAGTAGCATTGAAGGAAGAAGTCCAAGCTGCACTGAAGGAATTGGGAAAAACAAGGCTCCAGAAATTGACAGAACACCCACTGAGATATTTCAACAAATGGATGTAGCACTGGAGGCACTCACTTGTTTATGCCAAGAAATTTGGAAGGCAGCTACCTGGCCAACTGACTGGAAGACACCCATCCATATTTGTGCTCATTCCAAAGAAAGATGATCCAACAGAATGCGGAAATTATCAAACAATATCATTAATATCACACACAAGTAAAATTTTGCTGAAGATAATTAAGATTGGAGGAAGACTCAAAACCAGCGATAAGCAGATGATACACCCTTGCTTGCTGAAATGAAGATTGCTTGAAGCACTTACTGATGAAGACCCAAGACTACAGCCTTCAGTACGGGTTACACTTCAACATGAAGAAAACAAAAATGATCACAACTGGACCAATAAGCAACATCATGATAAATGGAGAAAAAGATTGAAGTTGTTAAGGATTTCATTTTACTTGAATCCACAATCAATGCCTGAGGCAGTCAAGAAATCGCATGATCTGGTGTAACCACTGAGACTATGGCCCCTAGCTGCCCTTCAGGTCTGGAATTGAACCCACAACTGTGGTTTCCAGCCAAACAAAGTACAGGCATGTGAGTTAAACATTTACCTCAAGTAGACACACGCCCTGGAGAGAACAATCATGGGAGAAGGAAGGGCTGCTTATGCACAGGGAGATAGCTCAGGGTGCAGAAGAGTATGAAGGGATGGACACTGGAAGGAGGTAACTATGGGGAGGAAGTGGGAGGGGAGCTGCTGCATTGTAAATTTTGGTCAATGACATGAGACAAAGTATATGTGAACTGCTGTATGAAAAGTGAATTTACTCTGTAAATCTTCACCCAAATCCTAATAAAAAAAAAAAAAGAAAGAAAGAAATCGCATGATACGTTGCGTTGGACGTATCTGCTGCAGAAGACCTGAAGATTTGAAGTATTGGTACCACAGCTTCCAGCATCACAGTAACATGTAAGCCACCACAATGTGACTAACCGACAGATGGGTGGGATTACTAGGTAGAATCAGCAGAATTATTGAACAGAGGCATTCTTCGCGGAGTTCTTGGCATGGGAAATAAGGGTATTCCCCTATAATATGGGCACAGTGTGTGGGGCACATGGTAAGTGCTCAGTAAATGAATAGAATAGGATCTCTCTGGGAACCCATTATAGATCAGAAGACTTGAACTTGCCCTAAACATCTAGGCAGCCAAGATGTCAGCCTTGCTTTCTGCTTTCCACCTCTGTTGCATGTCTCTCTCCATGCAGAACAAAGTTCCTATGGTACCACCTCCAACAGGACAGCTTGCCCCAAGTCCCAATGTTCATCCCTGTGCCAGGTGCTGTCTTCCCACCTGATCTGAGCACCTGGAGCCCTCTGAACCCAGCCCTTCTAATGCGCCTACCCACCTGCTGTCCACCAAGCCCACTGTCCCTTCCTAGCACATGGCAGGGTGGGAGGTGGGAGGTAGACATTGCACTCAAGGCTCCCGCAGGTAGGTGACATGCCGTGGCTTCTGTTCTCAGACTCTCCAGGCTCAAATTAAAAAACTGGAAATGAACAAGGTGGATAAAAGCGTGATGGAGCAGGAGTTGAAAGAGGTGAGTGAGCAGGGTGGTTCTTGTACCTTCCCTACTCCCCCGTGCTAAGCCCTGGCTCTCCCACCCAGGAAAATGGAAGCACCTAGCAAAAGGAAGACCGGGCAGAGAGCCTTCCAGAATTTCCTCTGACCTTTATCCATATAGGAAGGTTGGGAAACCTTCTCAACATTTGTCCCATTAACTACCATTTTCAGTGACTTGGCATTAATGGCATTTGTTATATGCTAATACTGCATGATCTCACTGATATGAAATAAGCAAATATATAGAAAACAGAGATTATTAGTGGTTACTGGGAGTGGGAGTTTATGGTAATGGTGGTGGAATAATTAGGAAAAAGATAGTGATGGGGTTTACTACATGAAGACTGTAATCAATGTCATTGAATTGTACACATAGAAACTGTTGAATTGGTGAATGTTTTGTTACATATATTTTTACCACAATTAAAAAAAATTTTTTTGCACCAATTTCTCTGTCCTGGGAAGACAGTGGCTTAGTTCTCAAGGTTGTGTTTGAGCCAATGTAGACTCCACAGTTGAGTTTAAGCCAAGACTAGACCTCCAGGTTCCAAATATTTGACCAAAGGGTACTGATTGCATCCAGCCTGCCCCTGCTGCCTCCTGAGTTCTCTCTCTCTCTAGAAAGCCGACAAGGGCGCCCTGGCAAGCAAGGCAGCCCGGGTTGACCTGGAAATGGTGGCAATGGAGATGAACGAGATGGTACATAACATGCTGCTCAAGTTCTCAACCTACGAGGATGACTGGAAGAAGTCCGTGGAGGAGTTGAACAAGGCCATGGCCACCAAGGTGAACATCTTGCCTTATATCTCTGTTGCTGTGTTAAAAATCACCCCCAAATGTAAGCACCTAAAGCAACAAGTCAGACCCAACTCATAGTGACCCCTCCTTGGGTTTCCGAGGCAGTATCACTACGGAAGTAGATCGCCCCATCTTCCTTCCACGGAGTGGCTGGCGGTTCAAATCCACCAGCAGTCTGGTTAGCAGTCAAGTGCCTTCGGCACTACGCTACCAGAGCTCCTCTTCTTACTTAACTTTTTAAAGCAACAAACATTGCTTTAAAAAAGGGTCAAGAGTTTGGGCCTGGCTAAGCTGAAGCATTCTGCTGTAGGGTCTCCCATGAGGGTGCAGTCAAGCGGGCTGCTAGGTCTACGATCATGTGAAGGCTTGGACTGGGCTGGAGGATCCCCTTTCAAGATGACTCCCCTACGTGGCTGTTGGTAGAACTGTTTCATTCCTCCTCATATGGACTCCTTAGTGCTGCTGGAGTGTCCTCACAACATGGCAGCCAGCTACCCCCACAGCAAGTGATCCAAGAGAAGAAAGCAGAAGCTGCAATGTCTTCTATGACTTGGCTGTGGAAGTTACATTCCATCATTTCTGCAGCAGCCCGTTTACATGAGTTGGCCCTATTCGGTGTAGGAGGGAATGCTCAAGGCCATGAACACCAAGGGGCTGGGTTGGGGCTCCATTGTCCCATTGGATTTCCCTTATAAAACACAAGTTCAAAGATAACAGGATTAGGACTTTCAAGATGGTGGTGGTGTCAATAACAAAAAGACAAACAATCCAATTAAAAAATGGGCAGAAGACATGAATAGACACTTCACCAAGGAGGATATTCAAGCGGCCAACA